ATCGAAGAAGAAAAATGTTTCGAATAAAATTTAATCGAACAGTCTATTCGAAATATTACTCGAATAAAATTTCATCCGAAGAATGCATTCGAAATATTTTCCGAATTAAATTTTATTCGACGAATCTATCCGGAATACTTCTCGAATCAAATTTCATTCGAGGAATTTATTCCAAATGTTATCCAAATAATGTCAAACTCTCATGCAAAAAGGATATTACTCTGGAAGACACAAAACGCACCGACGAACAACGGCAACAGAATCAATTAGTCAGCTCTAGCGCAGCTCCACCAAGAAAGAAAATTCCGAAAGTAAGAATGTTTGCAGAAAAACCTAACCCATCTCCAGCAACGAGCTGCGCGTTCAAGCTTGGCTCCCATCGAAAAACTTTCACAGAAGGAAGCAACCCTGCGCCCCACCTCTCGACCCTTCGTCCCCGATGTTTCCCGTTTCTTTGGCTCGTCAATTCTTTCCTCGTTATTCCCGTTTCGAGTTGTTCGCCCGGCGTTGTCGCTAAGCTCGCGGCAGTGGCGTCGGCGAGTAGGTGTATCGCCTCAAGTGTAATTTTATTATCTCTCTCTCCTTCGGAGCCGCCTTTCAAGCCGGTCGCGCGCCACCCCTGCATTCGGCGCGCTTTAACCACGGTGCTCGGCACCGGTTCCACGCTGTTATTTAAGCAGCGTTTCACCTCTGCTTCCTTTTTTCCTTCCCTTTACCGACCGCCGAGCTTCTCCACCCCCTAACAGCCGCGGCGCCTAGTTCTCGCCGAGCCGAGCGGAGCGGAGCAGAGCGGAGCCAAGCCGGTTCCGCGGCGTTCTTCTTTTCTAATACAGACGCGCGCGCTGAAGCTTCCCTTTTGCCACGTCGAAATTATGCAAAGAAGGAGACGATGGCTATCCGTAGCCGGCACACGGCCGCTGTGTGTTGCATTCGGCTCCGCCTTTGCCACCACCGGCGCGGTTACCTTCGTCTATGCTGGCTCCACCGGGCCAGGACCGTTTCCAAGACTGCGTCCTGCGGATAAGGGCACGCGCTATACTCCACGCTCTCGCTATGGACGATTGAGAGGAAACGTTCCAGTGCCTAAGTGCCGGGAATATGGTGCACTTTTTTCGGCTGCACGCCGTCCGAACCGTAAAAGAGAATTTTATTTTTACTCGCGTTCGGTACTCCCGTTCTATCCTCCTCAACTCGCTTCTTCGCTTCGCCTTGCATCGACGATGACGTAGCTTTCGCCTGGGATTCCGGAGATTCGTGGAGATGTGCGAGCATTCGATTTATTTCGTCGGCGATGTTCATTTAATTAGAGTGCTACGCAGAGTGTTCAGTTGACAAGTTTTTAAATCAAAATATCTCGAAAAGAACACATTTTTGTGAAAAATACAAAGCTTACTAGATTTTAAGGGAGAAATACGATTACTTTATTTGTGTTTTGATGTTGATCGTTTCGTAGGTTATCTGGAGGGTACAATTTTCTTTGAATGGATACTTTAAAATGAATTACTATTTTTATTTACAGATTTTCATTCTACGCGAGAAAAGAATAAATTTCTGTACGAAACGTTTTTTAATCAGACTTTCTCTTACGAGGATAATTAACGTTATTTTTTACCGATATTTTGTATTATACAATTTATCGAATTAATGTTGTGATAACTATAGCAAAAGTCAAGAAGTGATTGCATAGGAAACATAGAACATAGATAAAACTTTGATAAAAACAGTGTTAAATAGAAATTATTAAAGGTTAATACAATGAAAAATTTGTTGAAATACATAACTTCTTTATTTTTGTTATGATCGAATGCTGATAAATCAGTAACAGTTGCACTTTTTCACGTAACACTTGTCGAAGAGCAATTGTTATTGATCTATCAGCCTTCCGTCACAAAAAGATAAAGAAGTTTTTTAAGTAAACAAATTTTTCATTTCGTTAAGTTAAACAAATCTTATTTAACGCTGGAAGCACCAAAAGCAGCTGTTTTATAAAAGTATCTTCATTATCCGAATAATCGTAAATTAGAAAATTAGTGACCCGTCATTTTGAGGTGTTCCGTAAAGCTAGTATTAATTGAGTTCGGCTTGGCTCGGCACGTGAAATCTAAATATTCGCGCACTTGTAGAGATTCCGTGATTGTTGAGGAAGTGTTTGTGTTTACTGGGAGAACGGACGAACGAACGAACGATCGGTGGGCGATAATTAGACCAGTCTAGAGGTCGGCGAACTATGGTAAATTAGCATCAAGTGAAGTTAAAATGAAATTCTTGGGGGTAATGAGGACTCAATAAACATATAAGAAATTATATAAAAAGCGTGTTTCTTGTTACGACCGAAATCTTTTTCTTCTGGCATGTGAATTGCGAATGAATTTTAAGGAAGCAAATTCAACTGAAATTTCATATCGAACGCTATTAACCGCTTGAGTACAGATTTGTTCGAAAAAATTGTTACATTTGAAACGGTTTTGATTTGAGTGATATAATATACTAATATAATATACTATATATATAATATAGTGTAATATAATATATTATATAGTGATATAATATACTAATATAATATACTATATATAATATAGTGTAATATAATATATTATATAGTGATATAATATACTAATATAATATACTATATATAATATAGTGTAATATAATATATTATGTAGTGATATATTATATTATATTATATTATATAGTAATATAATACACTAATAATATAGTAATTAGAAGTTTGAATCACGAATTAGATCCGTTATCTGTAACTTAGGCAAAACAAGTGCATGGCGAGTCTCAATCGTCAAATGTACCCAAAGGGTTAAAATTTGTGTTTTAGTATTTCCCTTTAGTTTTCATAAGTCTACCATTTATGGTCGCCAGATATAATGTTGTCTACTTTTCCAGTTATAATTCTAACAATTTTGAACACAACTTGATGTGATCGAGATGTCTGCAAAGTCTATAGCTGATTTCCAGAGTTCTCGAAAAAGTTCTAGTTCGACCCTTAACTACCACACCTATTAAAACTTACGTAACCACTATTAGCCATTACGTAACCACTACCGTTAACGTGTATTGCGTCATTATTGGCATAAAAGTGTTGAATAAAAACTCAAGATCAAATGTTCTTACTTTGCACATCGATAATGATCGGATCCATGTTCGATTGCGTTGAAGCAAGTGTATTAAAAACGTTATTTTTTTCTTATAATTTTTCTTATAATTACGAATAACAATTATGAATAAGAATTATGACTAAGAATTGTGTATAAGAATGAATAAAGGGTTAAGAACGGTTTACTATTTGCGCTCGCACAAGAAGCAGTTATTGCGAAAGATCACACTGAAAAGTAAATATCATAAATTGTTTCATGTATGAGCTTGTAGGATTTTTTCGCGTATAAAGCGATTGACTGATGAAAAAAATTGAATGCCCTATGAACGACTAAGCGTTAATCCATTTTTACGGGGAAATAAAGCCAGAGGAATCCAATAAACGGATTTCAATAGACTTATACGGAAACCTTTAGTGGGTGGAAAAAGGCAGGGATGACAGAACTTTATTACTGGAACTTCAAGCTCGCGTAAACTTTCGGCTCGCGATCGTAAACGGAATTAATGTCGTTCGAGTCAATTAAGTCGATAATTAAAAAGCTGGATGAGTTGCATTTGTATTATCCACTGTATGAATGTTGAGTCTCAGTGCGTTTCGAAGTTGCAATAATTCAGAATCATATTCTGTTCGAGAAATACAATTTAAGGAGATGTAACCGGAAGTTTTTGCATTAAGAAAGAAAGTATTATAAATGGGACTTTATAATAGTTATACAAACTGTCACAATAATGTATCTAATAAGTTATAGTATTTGTAATAATTTATAACTTACTTTTTGATGTAAAACTTTCGGTTATCTCTGCTTCAATTATATTTTTCGAACAGAGTGTAATGAAATTATAATGAAAAGTTATAATTATAATATATAATTGTAATTATACATATAATTTAATCTTGGTAAAAAAGCAGTGTAGAATAAAATTAATTATATCAGCGCGTATGCCCTATTCCATACCCTACTACTTATCTTTCGAGTAATTTAGGTGACAGTTAGTGGACCACCTTGTATACATATATATATATATATATATATATATATATATATATATATATATATATAGAATATATACATATAATTCTATAATTATATTATTTGTTTCTGTAGTTTGCTTGCAATGTTTTTCATGCAGCAAACGAAGCCTGGCATAGTAAGCCAAAGTGGCTAATGGTATGTAAAATAAAGTCGCTCTAACTTGGAACATTTTCTAGTCTACGGCGCGGAGAATGTTTTACGACGGCATCTACTTCTCAGCGCATAAATTTTGCAACGTGACCGTTATGAATAACATCGGCGTCAAAACTGGGTTGTAGAATCCACGCAGATAGAATTCAGAGCATTGTTCAACGTTTTACATGCATGTCTATCGCGTGATACAATTCAGTTTGTAGCATCGCAGCGAAGAACCGGCCGACGGAACCAATGCGATAAAGTTATACACATAAATAATTCGATATTTACGAACTTCGAGAGAATTTTTATCATCGCGTGCCTCTGCTATACTGAACTAACAAACAGCTATCGCAAAGATGAAAGACCAAAGAGATTTTTAAAAATAAAATCCTGAAATTGGCGAACGCCAGTGATTGAACGCAAGTTCTTTGAAAAATACAAATACGACGGAGTTCTTAATATGTTCTTAATAAATCGTTAAATAAATATTTCCGAGCGATATTATCTTCTGCAGAAATCCCGACTGGGGCACGTAGCACGAAATAATTAGCGAAGTAATAAATCGCAATAAAAGCTGGTTCGGACGTGAGAGGATTTCGAAAAATAAGTTCGGTCCAATGAGCGAATCAGCAGAATCCATCGGAACTAAGAAGATAATCTTCGGCGGGAGATAGATCCCCGGTGAAAGTACCTAGGGAAACGATATTAGGGCGTACTCACAGTGCACGTGCAGCATCATCCGTTTGCTGACTGATGGTGGTACTCCGTTACTTGCGATGCATAGGTAGGCGCCCATCTCGCTTCTGGTTACTTTCGACAGAGTCAGCGTTTCCCCTTGGGCGTTAGCCACTGCAATACACAAGCGAACGGAAAGAATTTCAAAATCCGTTCGACCGTATGCGATTTAATGACTTTCCTAAATTACTCGACACGCGGGCGGAACGTTCGAAGAATTCGTACAATCTTGTAAGCAGTCAACTGGCAAATCGTTTGTTGCCGTATAAACTTGGCTTCGCGATAAAATTGTCACGCGAAACTTCGAAATTAAATTGCTATTTTTAAATAAGATATGTGCATAATTTTTTTAAATCAAATATTGTTTAAGAACTGATCTGGTTTAAAATTGTCGGCTTACGCTAGGAGGAGCGCAACATCATTATTTGCCAAATGTAATATGTATGGTAATTTGAAAATGTACCGAATAATTTGATAATCGTGCACAATTTTCAAAAATGTTCTGGTGTAGAATTGTTGGCTTATGTCATGAGAAATGTAATTTCTTTTTATGTCAAACGTTAAATAATCTGATAATTGTATAAAATTTTTAAAAATGTTCTAACATATTTAACATTGTTGGTTCACGTTGTGAGGAGTACATATAGTTTAATTTCTCGTCGAGCATTAAATGAACGATAATTTGAACATTTGAACATTTGAAAATGTTCAGAATAATTTGATAATTGTATACAATTTAATTAAGTTTCCTAACAGATTTCAAATTGTTGGCTCATGAATGAATGTAATAATAATTTTCATGTCTACAAAAATACAAAATTGCGTAAACATCCCCAGTTCGTTGGCTGAATGGTAATTTGTGAATGGTAATTTGAGAATGTTCAAAATAATTTGATAATCGTATACAATTTTAAAAAATGTCTAATGTCAAATCTCACGTTAGGATATTAAATTGCAATCATACGGAATGTTTATCAAACACCACGTACTCAATGAGTACAAATACAAGAAACTATAAAAACTAAAACAACAATAAAAAATAAAAAATAATTAATTAAATAAAACCTATATAGCGTAACGAACTGTCACTGTAGCTCTAAAGTATTTTCCTATCACGCAGACTTTGCTTCCGTGAGATTTTTCCAATTGCAGTTTCTATTACCACCTACGAGAATAGCAAAGACGAGCGCCTCGAAATACAAGTGTCAAATTGCTGTTCCTCGCCTTGGCTAGGGATCTGCCGAAGCATTGTCGAGTATTTGCGTGATTCGCCGTAACGCGAGGCAGCTCGGGAAGAGGTAAGCTCCGAAATACGAGCAGCGACAATCTCGTTCGACGAGGAACGAAAATTCCCGCGGATTTGAAGGACAGAGGGATTGCCATGCGCGGTTCATTTTATTCGACCGACGCGACGTGAAACGCGAAATCACCAAATTAGTAATCAGTTTTAAATTACCCGGCCGACTAGCAACTGATTGGAACATATTTCGAGCTGCCACAGCGAACCGTGACGAACAAAGAATCCGCGGGATTGAAAAAACAAAAGACACCATCGTTCGACAATGCGCGCGGAGCTCGGAGCTTAAATGAATTTTCACGATTGTGTTTCTATCAACCGTTTTGGTTAAGCTCGCTCTTTCCGGTTTATTCATAAAGCGGCAGTTTGATCTTTCGGTGTACAGTGGCGTCAGAAAGTATTCGAACATGAAATCTTCAGGTTGTCAGAAAACGTCTTTGAAGAAAGTCGCGCAACGATGAATCTCGACTAATTTGAAATCTTCGTCTGAAATAAGTTTACACTATGTAACGTCTCAAACACAAAGCGTCCTTTTTTTCAAGAATTAGTTAATCCATCGCAAATATGAAGAATAAGGCTCCCTTCTATTTGGCAACGAGTTCCAAAAATCTTTCGCACTATTATTTCCTGAGTTTATAAGTTACTGAGTTTACGATACCTATTATTTAAGGTTGAATTCTTTTCACAACAAATTAGGGATCCCACCTTTTTGTAAATTGTGGACCTGTCGTCTTCAAACTAATCAATTATTTTTTCCATAAAGATTAAACGAGAACTGCGGGTTATTGACATATCTATTATATTATAAACTAATATAACTCACGTGGAAGTACGATATCCGGAATATTCGGCGGTTTTCAAGCGATGACGTGAAATTTATGGACAGGCGTTGTCGGTCGAATAAATTTTTTGTCGACGATGTTCGGATTCCGCAGAAAAAGAAAAATAGTTTTTCGAAAATCTGTCATGACTTATGATTTTGCGCATATAGGCCGAGATTGATAGGTGGCTTTGATTTCGACATTACCCTGTTTTCAATCTCAATTTGATCGTTTACGAGCCGTTCTATTTACTTCGGGGATCTATTGCCATATCGTTGACACCACCATTTGTCAATCTCTTTGCATACCTGGGTTCTAACATTTTGTCTTTTAAGAAGTCGTTGCAGTAATTTATAGTGACATTGAGTATAATGCCCGAATTTGGGACAGTTTGTTTTTCGCTATATGTATTAACATTGTAAAAGTAATTTCGGCTTTCCAAATAAATACAACCCAATACATACAAGTGTGTAAAGAATATAAGAAATATCTAATAATTTATAAACATTTTTAATGAATTGAAAAGTCAGTTAATCTGTTAATTAGGTGATTTTTTCATTTCTAAAACCAGTCAAAACATAATAATAAGAGACAAATGATATTAACGCAATGAACATTTTAATAATGAAGTTCTTAAATAACATAATAATTATTGTATTGCATAAATCGTAGGTTGTAGAAATCGTTAAGGAATACTAAAATGCAAAATCTAGTATTTAACATAAATTCAATTAATCTCACAAAAGTGAGATCTCGACTCCACTTTTTCATGTCTACAAAAATACAAAATTGCATAAACATCCCCAGTCCGTTAATAATTATTAGACATGCACTTATATCTTTTAAGAAACATTTCATTCTTCGCGGTAAATCAAGTTCGCCGAGATTTTTTTGCTCGATAATGAAAAAAGATGGTTCACTTAGAAAGTTACCGCAGTTTAAAAGTCTTTAGCATATTTCGCGCAGCTAGAATAATTCACAATTAGGGAGGTAGCACTTACTTTTCGTTTTGCCACCGGAGAGACCGTCCCGGGAAATAATTTCAGTGCCGTCTTCTCGTTTCCAAACGATCTCAGGTTTCGGGTATCCGCGAGCTTTGCACACCAATTTTGCGGATGCGCCCTCGGGTACCATCAGATCGTTCGAGGTTTCCTCGGATATTATATCCGGCGGTATCACCACTTCCAGGAACGCAATCTGTAAGGTCGATTTAATCGATAAATCAATTACCTTTCTCTACAAACCAGAACTTTTATTCATGAAAACATTGTTCGGAAAATTTGATCCATTCTTGCACGACGCTGTTGAACGTAATTAAATGTTGTTGCACAGTTAACGTAGCAGCGTATAATACAAATTTGTTTACATTCTGTTAGGTTCCAAGTTAATCGTGGAACGGAACAAACTGTTCGCACAATATTTTCACGAACAGGCAATTACCATGCGCTTATTTACAAACACGGTAGAACCTCTGTTATATGAGATAAAATGAATACGATTTTGCAAAACGAAAATACAAACGACAATTGACGTGATTAAACAAATCAAACATGCCGATTCTATGACAATTTTTTAAGGCAACTTTCTGTGTCAGCTTCGTATCGAATCATAGTGAACAGATATATTGGAATATATTCCATAACGGAATAATAAAAATATTATTCGCATAATAGAACTATCGAATAATAGATCTTTATGTATTAAAATATAATATTTATACAACAAATGTCCGCAAAATAGAGGTTTCATCGTGAATCACAATCGAACGAATCGTTTCATCTACAAGGATTTCCCGTCAACAATTTCATTATCAATACGATTCTGACGCATTTGAACAACGACAAAAGAGGGAATTACGCATTAGATACGAAAAAGAAATACAATGTTGACAACGTCACCCCAATGTTTCCCGTCCCGTATCTTCAGGGACAAGCAAAAAAAAAATAACATGCCCGCTATCAAACGGGTTACAACAAAATAGAAGAAAAAAAAACAATCAAGATAATTTCGCCACGGTACCAATATATTCGATTTCACGGCCGAGCGTTCCGCACAGATAAAACAAATATTTTCGCCGCGGTCGCCGAAACGATCGAATCATCAAGCGTGTTTTAAACGAACGGGAACAACAACGGGTTGTCGTGTCTCTGACGATGGAAAATTTTCAATGAGATTTTTGAACATAGAATCCTCTCGGCAACGGCCCGCTGGAAACAAATACTTGCCGGGCGCGGAACGGATTTCACTTTAAAATGAATGCCCTCCATGCAAAAGCATCGCGCACAATAAAAATCTGACCCGGATCTAGGGTAAAAAGATTCTCCACTTCTCCGGGTATGTGCTTTATCTCCCTCCTTTACTTTTTCCTCTCTTTCTCTTTCTTTCTATCCTTTCTCTCGTTGCTCTCTCACGTTTTTTTATTGTGCGCGAGCTATTCCGAAGGATAGCCTTTCCTTACCTGACTCTTCATAGGATTCGTGTTGACCTGACACATATAAATGCCCCGATCTTCCCGGCGTACGGAGTGGATGCTGAGCGTCCACGTGTTGTAGTCGCTGTGCGTTACCGATAAACGCGCGTTGTTCGTGATCACGTGCTCCTGGATCGCCAGGATCGCCTTGGTGTCCGCTTTGATCCACGCCACCTGGCCTCACAAACCCATTTCTTAACAGACCGATCGACTTCCCGACGATTCGCGCCGCTCCGATTCTTATTTAACTTATCAGCTAGCATTATGCACAGGCTCTCGCTCCGTTAACGCCTTAACCCCGAGCCTAACGCTTAATCGTTAATCGATCCTAGGCCGCAAATCGTAGGATCGATCATATACGAAGTCGCGATCTTCTGTCACACGCAGCTCAAGGCCGACACTTACCGAGAGCGAACAAGATATATATATATATATATATATATATATATATATATATATATATATATATATATATATAACTGTACTTGTTATAAAGTTGATCGATCACGTAAGTCGAACACGACTGTCGCGGAGATTGCTCGTCTATTTGACGAGGATAATTTGTTTTCATCGATATCAATGCGCATAACGAAAGCAAATATCGAATGGATTTTTGAAAATTTAAATAGTAACGACTAAGGGAATTTATAAAATTAAATACATATTGCTTTCGATCACTTTTACGCGATCCTTGCGATCGTTGTTTTAATAAATATCTATTCTTCGCACTTTTTGTAGGCAAGTTATTTAAATATCCTGCCCGAAACTACTTCGGCAGAAATTAATTGACGTCAGACACCGTTTGTTAACTCAGAAAGTATCATTGAAAATGACTTTTCATTCGTGTTTTGCGTTATTTCGATATATCGGGAGAACGTTCACGCGAGCTCTGCATTGTTGAATATTTGTATACGCCTGTTTATTAAAGCTGCGACTTAAATTTTACGTGAAGAAAATTTGAAATATATTCTACGATTTTAATAACAGAGAGAACCGTTCCGACAAATATTGGCTAGAAAACGATTCCCGTTTTGGGTAGAATCACTTTCGGTTTAGAACAAGCTAATATAGCGTCCGTTGGTAATCACACACGCCCCGATGTACTGTGTAATTAATTGAGCTAGTGGCTCATTTCAGCCTACTTTTAAAACGCTTTGATGAACTTTGCTTTGATCCAGAACCCGGATTATCACGCGAATTTTAAACGATGTTAAGCCGTATTAATATTCATTTTACGGGCTATAATCCAAACTGTATAATATTGGGACCGATATTTATAAAACAGTGCTTAAAAGCGTAGAATTCAAAAGCAAACGAAATATTATTTCGTTCATTTCAGCACCACTTAATTAAACGACTTCTTGAAAATTCGATTTCAATTCAAATTCAATTACTAGAAATAATTCATTAACATAATAGTTTAGGTTGTTACCGGAATTCAGCGAGATTCAGTCCGATATCATCGAATCACGATTAAAATGTAACATTTGATTCGATTGCGGGCTGTGTCGCCGTAATTTCATTAATTATTATGAAATTACGTTAGTGATTTAGTCATTTATGTGCAAACTCGATAGTAACGAAAATTTCATACTATTTCTAATAGGATCAATAGTATTCCCAGCGAAAGAGATATTCAGATTAGTATGATATACTTAAACTGGAATTTGCAAAAATTCTGGTAATTAAGGAGTCATTTGGAACAATGAAGTAAAACAGCCAGTTTTAATTGTTGGTATTAACCCTGTAACTCTTCGAGTTTATATGATGGAGGCAATGTATTAGGCTCTTCAAATATTTTTATTCATTGAAGTCAAAATTGAATTCTACAAACAAAGTCTTACTTTTATTGTATTTTTACATTAATATCTTTTCATATAATAAGCTTAAAAACAATGTATGCACAGTTTCTAAGGATGTGGGATCGTTTTAGTTGAGTCTAGACACCATTAATGTAAATTTTCATGAGCATAGTAACACGTATATGGTCCGTATGTCAAATAGGTACATTGTTTAATTTGTGGTATTTATAAAAAATTTATCAATGAAATTTTTCAAAAAAAATCAATAAAACCGTAAAATTTGACAGGAAACTTTGGACGAGTCGACACGATGATTTTGTAGAATATACGTATATCAATGAATTTTCATTAAAAAATAACTTGAAATACTTCTGATAAGGGTTAATGTAAAAAGTTGATACTTTTCCTACGACACTTTATCATTTTAGTAGGCACTGGTAGGATTAATCGCTGCATAATCAGATCACATTTCAACGAAATCACGTTCTCAGCGGGGCAAGGGGTGGCTGGCCGATGTTTCGCGAAAAATCTCGGCGAACGGCGGTTCGGGGATGGGGAAGCTTCCGGCCCTTATTTCGCATAGATATTATTGGCATGAAATTGAACCCCCGGCATGTCGAATATTTGACCTCGCGTCGCTTTGAAAGGCTATCTATCAACCAACAAAAGAGGTCTGCGGTTCTTATCGATAACTCGAAAGCGGAGTGTACAGGGAACGGTGGGGGTCGGGGGTGAGACACGAACGGCTAGATAGAACCGAGAGAGGCAGGGTAGGGCTTTGAGTGTTTGGTACTGACGGCCCTGTGAGTGCCTCCACTTATAATACATTATACGAGGATAGTAAACCCCTTCCCTCGCCCCTTGAGCCGCCCCTGACACCACCGCCAACCCCTCTGCGCGGTCCTCTTCCTTCTGCCTCCACCCCCTAGCGCCTTACCCTCGAGAGCTCCAAAAAACGAGCTCTCTTCGAGAACTGAAAAAGTCTCCGGACGACAGATGCTCGCGACTCTGAAACATTTATGCCACTTTCCCTCCTTTCCCTCTCTTTTCTCTCCCTTTCTGCCTTCCTCTCGCTCCCTCTTTTCCGTGCCTTCCACTCGTTTTCGTTCCAACGAGCCACCCTTTGTCCAGCCGATTCGTCGAATGATGATCGATGGTGCGCGTTTCGCGACTTGGCAACGTGAAAGTTAAGCTCGCTGGGGGATTCTCCGTCGAGTCATCGTCTGCTCTCTTATGGGGTTACTTACGCCGCGGAACCATAAAGGGTCGGTCGTATTTGAGAATATCTTGTCGATGTATTTTATTATTTGGTGCGGATACTTGAATTTCAGTTTACTGACTACCGTGTGATCTTTTAGAATGCTTGGTTTTCAAACAATTTTGAAAATTCTTAACGGCAATGATATACTTTCTAGCTTAAAACGGTGTCCGACTCAATTACTTTTTCCTATTTTTCTTAGCCGTTCCTTGTTCCTTGCTTCAAATAAATTTATTACTGTTTAATATCGTTCGTTAACGATACACCTAAAGTGTGCCTAAACTTGAATAGGTTACTGCACGTACAATTATTCTTACGAACCATATTTATATAATTGTTTATATCAGTTAAACATCTTTAACACCTCAACGACGGGATCCGTATGAAATATCGACCTTTATATATTAATTCGAAAATAATGTTACAATCTTAACAATTATTCTCATGTAAATACATCGATAAAAAATTGTGAGCTTTATTTATTATCATATGGTGCACATTGCAATGCGTTACTTAGGCAGAATTAGTTTTCTTTATGTGGCTCCGGCGTTGAGAAGTTGATAGTTAAAAACCTTTCCTGGAACTCTGAATCGTTTAGAGCATTTTACCTGCCTGTTATTTCCTAAATCATTATGCGATCATTTCCTAGAGGCTCCTCGTGAAATTTTAGTAATTTACCTTATTTAGTGAACGATTTTCTGAGTTCAAGATTAAAGTTTAATCGCTGTTTCGAGCTGATTAATTTCACTTAACCTGGACAGTGCTTCGAACGCGATCAAAAATCGCTGATACATGAATTGATTGAAACTCGTCAACAGAAACGTGACAAAGTGTTTAAACATATCTACTAAAGGTATCCGACCAGTTCTTTCTTATTTCGAAATCCAACACTACGTCTCATTTGTTATCGTCAAAATCATCGGAGGTGATCCACAAAAAACCTTCGCTTATCGTACAAAAACTTTGCTTGTTGCGTACGAAACCAGTTTCGCTCGTGTATAAAATAAAAGCGGCAAGCTTCTCGAACAAATCCGATATTTTCCATTCTACTCGAAACAGAATCTGCGGAAGTTCGCCGAACATCGGGGAGCCAACGAGTCCTTAGATCCGGCGCAAGAAAAATGGCGAACCGGCTTGCGTTCGGCAAGGACACAGCACCGGCCTCGAGTGTCTCGAAATATTCATAGATTCTCGACCGGCGAAACGATCTTTGCGTAATCCACCGTAGGGAAACCCTTTCCTCGTTCGAAAACATGGCGCGTCGCGGGCCCCGTCGGCGAATCATCGAGGCTCCCCGATATAATCCGAAGAGATCGCAAATTCGCAGTACAATGAGAGCTACGACTTAAAGGGTCGCGGCACTATGGAAACGAGTTTATCTCGAGCGAAAGACGCCCCTTCGCCTAATGCAGTTTCCCTTACGCATTTTCAACTTACGATCGGCCCCGGCCGTCTCGTAGCTTCTCGACGACGAGAACGGGGGGGTCGGGTGCTCCGAAGGGTGGCGGACGGATAAAGGGAAACACAGGTCAGGAAAACAGAAAACCGGGGAGAAAAATAGCCTCGGAGAGGGCAGAAAAGGTCGACGAAGCCGTAGAAAGATGGCGATAGACCGCCGGGGAAGATGAAGAAGAGAAAAATAAGTGGCGGTGGGGGGGGGCGGCGAGGGTGGCGGCGCGGAACCCTAGTCAGATATAATATCATACTACGTGCACCTATCTCTCGCGGTCTCTATTCTCGGCCCTCTTTCATATGCAAAACCATCGTCGGCGGTCTATTGTGGTGCATTGTGGGATCAGGAGCCTCGGTCCAGTCTACCACACCTCGTTTATTTCCCGCCATCTTCTCGTTCGCCCCGTTTCGACCCCTCTTTCTTGCGGCGTGCCACCCCTCCGGCCCTCCCACGCCATGGCAAGCGGCGTTCCTCTTATTTCGCGCAGCTTGACAGCCACTTGTACATTCTCCGTCGCTGTTACGTCGTCCTTTTTTTTCTCGCCCGTTTTCGGTAGCGAGGCACAGCTGTTCCCTTCGACCGAGCACCCGGATGAATGGATAAGCTCGCTAATTAAAAGTTTCGCGGATCTCGCCGTCGACCGCGTTCATCGCCGACCTCG